ACTCAAGAGTAGAAAATCTGAATAGACCTATAACAAGTAACATGGTTAAGTTAATAGTCAAAAACTACTCACAAAGAGAAGTTCAGACCTATTGTACTTCCCTGGTGAATTCTACCAAAAATGTAAAGAAGTAACACAATTCTTCACAAACTCTTCCAAAAAATAAAACAGACGGGAACACTTCCCAACTCATTCAATGAGGCCAGCATTATGCTAATACCAAAACCAGGCAAAGACATCACAAGAAAACTATAGACAAATATCTTCAGTAAAATACTAGTAAACAAAATCCACAACATATAAAAAGAATTATACATCATGACCAAATAAGGTTTATCCAAAGAGGTTGGTTTAATATTAGAAGTTCAATTTTAAAAATCAATAAAATCTGTATCAACAGAATAAAGAGCACAAACCACAGGAACACTTCAATACATGCAGAAAAAGCATTTGACAAAACGCAACACCCCTTCATGATAAAAACATGTAACAAACTAGGAATAGAAAGGAACTTCTTCAACATAATAAAGGGCATCTATGATAAACCCACAGCTAACATATATTTAATGATGACAGACTCATGCTTTCCCAATAATATCAGGACTAGAACAAGGAAGTCTGTTCTCACTGATTCTATTCAACATTGTACTTGAGGTTCTAGATAGGACAATCAGGAAAGGGGGAAAGAAGGCATCCAGATTGGAAAGGAAGACCTATCTTTATGTGGAGAAAACATGATCCTGTATATAAAATCATAAGGAACACAATAAGAACCCTTAGAACTAATAAAGTAGTTCAGCAAGGTTGCAGGATAGATCAATGCACAAAAGTCAGTTGTATTTCTATACACTAGCAATGAATAATCCAAAAGTGAAATAAGAAACAATTTCATTTATCATAGCATCAAAAAGAATAAAATATTTAGGAATGAATTTAACAAAAGAAGTATAAGATTGGTACATGGAAACTAGAAAACAGACTTCCGAGCAACATGGCACTATAGTCAGAAGCACCACGCCGTCCCTCTGCATCAAAGATCAGAAAAAACTAAGTCAAACAGAGTTACACGTCAATCGTGAAACCCTAAGCATCAAACGAAGAGATAAAGAACTCAGCCAAGCACTAAATGGAATAAAAAAATGACCGAGAACAGACAGCAAGAAGAGATACACGCAGAGGTCCCCTATCGGAGATCAGCGAATAGGGGGTACCAGAAAGCAGCTTCACAGAGCTTCCAGCAGGAGACAGAACAACTGGTAACCAGCGATATACGCTTTTCCACCCCCCACCCTTCTTTACCCCCACTTAGCCTCCTCTGCTTCCTGCAGCCACAGTCTCTTGGCCGGGAACAGCAGCTTCACCCCAGTGTTGCTTGGATTCCACCCGTCTGCAATGGCGGGCTCCCTGAGTGCCTTTTGTTGGCTGCTGGTGTTGCTTTTTTCTGCTTCTTTAGATTTCTTCCTTACCTCTCACCACCTCCCCCTCCTTTCTCTCAAATATCTGGCTCCGTGTGCCATCTTTGCTTCTTCCTAAAAGGCTGCCAAATACCGCTCAACTGTGAAACTGCTTCCTGATCCATGCCGCCACGCTGGTGGGACCCCTGGGGCTTTTTTGTTTGTTTCTTTGCTCTGATTTGTTCTGTTTTGATTTGTTTATTTTCTTTTTCTTTTCTCAGCTTGGGAGCCCCTTCTAGCCGGGCAGTACCATGTGGCTTAGAAGCTACTCCCCTACTCTGCACAGACGCACAGGGACATCCCTGGGGGCATTTCTTTTTTCTTTTTCTTTTTCCTTTTTTTTGGTTTTTTATTGTTTCTTTGTTTTGTTTTCTTCTCTCTCTTATTCCCTTTTTCTCTTTCTTCATTTACACTTTTTCTTTTTCTTCACTTTTGTTTTTCACCATTTCTCAGTCTCTCATCTCTCCACTCCCATAGCAAGCTCCCTTAGCACTTTTTTTTTGTTTATTTGTTTGTTTTTGGATCCTGTTCCTCTCTCCTCTCTTTCCTCTTTTCCGTACCCATCTTAGCTCCACACATCACAATCTACCCCCTCCTTCCTGCCTACCTGCACTGTGCATTGAACATCACACTCCCAAGCAGCACAGGCATGGCCTACTGGAACCTGCCCTGCACTATTCCTGGTCTGCACTGTCAGCCCTGGTACGTGCCACAAACAACCCATCCCAGCAACTCCCCTTCAGCTGCACCTGCCCTGCTGTACCATACCTGGGTGACTGACCCTGTCCATTGGAGAAGGAGGTGAAAAGTATTGTGTCCACAGAAGAGCAAACAGCAAAGAACGCACAGCCCGCCTGCTCAGACGTACCCAAATAAAATAAAAAAGCAGGAAGAAACAAACAAATCTACAATCAATAAATGAGGAAAATAACCACTGAATGCCGTGAAGACAGCAGACAATATCAAAACATTTACAAAAACAAGACAGGATGGTTCCAGTAGGCATCCAAAATAAAACACCAGATGACTTTCCAGTAGAAGAAAAGGCACTAGACCTAATTGATAGGGAATTCAAATCTCTAATATTCAGAATTATCCAAGAGTTGAAGCAAAAAGTGAACAGAAATGAGGAAAAAATAGACAAATTCATGGAAAAGGCAGATAAATTCATGGAAAATACAGACCAAAAAATAGAAGAATTCAAAAAAATAATACCGGAACAAAATGCTAAAATAAATTCACAACTAGAAATCATACAAAAACAACAATTAGAAATCCAAAGATAAACAACAAGATTTCAGATATGGACAGTGTCATAGAAGGGCTGAGGAGAAGGTTTGAAACAATAGAATATAGGATCAGCAAAATTGAAGACAAACACTTGGATGCAAGTCTGTTCGAGGAAAACTCAGAAAAAAGAACGAAGAAAAATGAAACCCTGAGAATTATGTGGGATACAATCAAAAGCAAAACTCTGAGAGTGATCGGAGTTCCAGAACAGGGGGAGAAAACAGAAAACAGAGAGGATCATTGAAGAATTGCTGACAGAAAACTTCCCCAGTATCATGAAAGATGAAAAGATGACCATCCAAGAAGCTCAACGAACCCCATATAGGATAGACCCCAAAAGAAAATCACACTCACTAAAACCAAGGACAAAGAATCCTGAGAGTCACTCGAGAAAAACAAAAAGTCACATACAGAGGAGAAACAATAAGACTAAGCTCAGATTATTCGGCAGAAACCATGCAGGCAAGAAGGCAATCGGATGACATATATAAAACCTCAGAAGAAAAAAATTGCTAGCCAACAACAATATATCCTGCAAAACTCTCGTTCAAATATAATGGTGAAATTAGGTCATTTCCAGATAAACAGAAATTAAGGGACTATGTAAAAACCAAACCAAACTTACAAGACTTATTAAAGGGAGTCCTTCAACGTGAGAACAAACAACATCAGACCACAGTCTGAATATAAGACACAGGATTGTACTAGCCGGATACCAACCTAGGAAATGAACTCTTAAGGACTATGCAAAAGCAAAGGAATTATAACAGGGAACCAGAGAGGTTGATCTCTAAATGACAACAGCATCAGAACAATAAAAGAGGGAATAAACGGTGTAGGTATAGAACCTTCTAATGGAGAGGAAGGCAAGGCGATACCAAGTAATAATAGACTGGTTCAAATCTAGGAA